CTGCCGATAAGCAGAGATTATTGAAAAAGATTGACTAATGGATTTTACAGATGGTAGACATTAGTGATCTAAATATGCAGCAGAAGATTGGGATAGAAATCCCAGTGGTGTTTTAAGTGGGAAAGAAAGTGAGGAAGTGCAAGTGAGTAAAGGCATGCTTACACTGGAATAGGAATGAGAAATGTGGCAGTAAATGAAGGAGGTTATGTGATTGGTTTGAGATGGCCATTTTGGGTTATTGGGATAATCTAACTAGAAAAGATAAAAATTAATGACACAGAGAAAGGGCTAGTTAATAACACGAAGTAATGGAGAAGGATGGGCTCCTGAGCACAAGAGGCAGGTTGGTATAATATACGGATAGTTCATTCATATTAACAAGAGGGAAGGCAGAATATAGGTACCTATATGGGTAAGAAGATAGATGCAAAGGAAAGGAGTTAAGGAAATTTCTGTCTGCTTCAGATGGGGCACCTCAATATTTAGATAAACGATAAAAATAAATCAAAGGTATTTCCAAAACATTTACATTATGTAATCAGCACGATGGTGGCTCCAATAAGCAAATCATCATTATCATATCACAAATTTATAGCAGTAATTTTGACGAAGCCTCATTTAATCTTCAAATAAGGGTATCCTATATAATAAAAGCCCAGCAACCTAATGGCAGAATGACCAGAACACCCAGTCGACCAGTCACTATGACGCGCACTGACCACCAGGGGGCAGACAATGCAGGAGCTCCCCCAGGTACTCAATGCACTCCCACAGTGGGAGCGCCACTCCCACAGCAGGCTGATCCCCACAGGCCACACCCCCACCAGTGCATGAATCCTGTGCACCGGCCATCTAGTAAAATAATATCATAGCCCCCACTTTCTAGATTTTGAAAATCAGGTTTAGAGAGATTAAGAAGTATGATTAGGTGGTTAAGTAGCCTGAATTTAGAGCTCATCCTGTAATCTGTAACTGCTTTAAATCTCTCTCCCCTCTCCCCACCACACACACATACCCGTGCGTGCGCACACACACACACACACGCACACACACACACGCACACACACATGCACACGCACACGCGCACGCGCGCGCACACACACGCACACCCCACTGTTTGCATTGTGATTCTTTCAAAAAACTACACAGGTAGTTTATGGATAGATTACTCTCTCTTTTGGAGAAAGCAAAAAAAAGGGGCAACTTTGCTAAACCAGTTCTATTTCTCCCTCCTATGTCACTAATGCCTTTGCTTTAATATTTTAAACTTCTTTTATTTTGCTTCAGAAACACTGCAAGAAGTAAAACTACTAATGTACTAAGTTTAATGTATCATTCCCTAACAACCTTTTTATCTCGATCCTTTGTTACTGTTCTCTCAATGTATATATTGGAGTTCTTTGATCATGACTGACTTTATAATAGAAATCATGATTAGCACCACTTAATCTCCTGACTTTGGAAGCCCAGATAATGCACATAAGGGACTGATTTGAGCGGGAACTTCTCACTCATCACAGGTATTGATGCTGAGGACAATGGGAAAATGAGGTCTTGAAGGAACCATTTAAATGTTAAATGTTCTAACAAAGAAATTAAACAAAATGTATAATTTGTTCCATAATGACACCTCAGATATAATTAGTATACTGTATATCCTAAAACCTAGAAAAACCAAGTCTGGATAGGTTCAAAAAGAATTTATTAATACTTCCTGTGTCTCCAGCATTGAATTTGCCATAAAAAGTTTCATACACTTTTCAAAAACCCATAAATAGATAGCAGTTAACCAACACAACCCAATATAAGTGTTAAAATAATTTCTCCACACAATTTAAATATATTAGGTTTCCTTAAGGATGAGGAAGTGTTTTGAAGTACTTAAGTACTTCTTGGATTCCAGAGAATAACTTTAAAGCACGTTATAAAATGAGTTACCAATTGAAGACCACTTGGTGGATTAAGTGTTCCTTTTGATTTGTAAACTCAGAGGAAAAAATATCCTGCAAAATCTATATGCATTCAATTTGTCATGTTAAAGTAAATGAGAAAGTACATGTAATTTTAATTATCGTAAGTGAGAATTCCTGCTATGGGAGTTTTCAGAAGAAATCCACAAAATGAAAATTGTTCTGGAAAATTTTCCTAATGGAGAACAGTATTGTGTGGAACAATCTCCCCAAAGCCACTGTGTAATGCCTGGAAGAAGTATCCTGCCCTGCCACAAGTCAAGGCCCCCTCAGGGGTATGATGCTAACAGTCCCATTTCTGAAAGTCAAGGAAATGTATTATGGAGAGAGAAAAAAAAACACACAAAGAAAAGTCTGTAAGTAACTTACTAAATTACTGTAACTTTAGATAAAGAACTCGCTGAAGCCGCCGGGAATGTGAGGCAGAATTTAAATGGTAGCACGAAGTGAATTTAGGCTCCGATGACCATGTCAAATCAGATTTATGCCCAAACAATGAATTTCAGAAAACAATCAATTCTGAACGAAATCATTACTGGATTGAAAACGGAGACCTTTGCCTAAACATACATCTTAGTTATCTAATTCAATAAAAAGTATGGCTTTGTAAAATCCACACACATCTATTTTAAAGACAGCACAATAACTCTAACCAATAGAGCAGTTAGTTTGAGGTGTGGTTAATTGAATTACTGTTATTCCTTTTTTTCTTTTTACTTTTTTCTTTTATTTTTAAAAAAGCACATCTGTTCCCAAGGAAACTCACTCCAATTCTTTAAAGATGAATACAAAGCCTCCTTTCTATATTTGGTCTCTAAAACCCAGGTAAAAGGAAAAATAAATAAATTTATTCATTCATCCATTCATAGATGCATTCATTCATACATGCATACATTTTTGCATCCTCCCCATGCCTAAATCAGGCTATTTGTAAGAATGTCAAAGAAATAGCAATGATCTTGTACTGAAGGTCTTCTCAGAATAGGTATCCACCTGACCTTGCCAGAGGAATTCCCCATTCACCTGGAGAAGCACCAGCTATCTCTCAGGATATAGAAAGACCTGAGAAATAAGAGACATCTCACATTCCTGTAAGCCTGGCCTGCCCCCTGTCATCTTTTAAGATACACCTCTGTAATTTAAACTGGGCAGAGAGCCCTAGCTGGTTTGGGTCAGTGGATAGAGCATCAGTCTGTGGATTGAAGGGTCCCAAGTTCGATACCAGTCAAGGACACATGCCCAGGTTGTGGGCTCAATCCCCAGTGGGGGAGGAGGGTGCAGGAGGCAGCCCATAAATAATTCTCTCTCATCGTTGATGTTTTTATCTCTCTTTCTCCTTTCCTCTCTGAAATCAATTTAAAAATATGTTTTAAAAATTGAGAGAAATAAAAAAAATACTTTGAGACAAAGAAACATCATTGATGTTTCCATCTTTCCCTTTCCCTTCCTCTCTGAAATCAATAAAAATATATTTTAAAAAAGTAAAAAACAAAAGGGGCAGAATTGCTCAGTGGCTAAAAATATCCACAGAGGCCCAAGGCCACTCAGTAGACAAGAGAATTTCACACTACTTCTCAGGAATTTTATCAATTACTGCTGCTGCTCTACCTCCTGTAACTCTCCCCCTAATATAATGCTGCCCTGATCTATTCCATCTTCTCTGTTTCTTTTGTAGTCACTAACCCTCCTGTTTCCCCTGGTGACCACTCTAACCCCTGTCTGCCCATGACACACCAGCCCACCCCATGCCACATCTCAACTGAACCAAGCCGCTTGATGAATAAAGCAGAACAACAAAATAACAACCATCTATTTAAGAAAAAACCTGTACCAGGAACCATACTAAGTATTCCTTATACCTTATCTCATTTGAGTCTTCACAACAGCCTACAACGAAATCTCCATTGCGTCAATGAAGAAAGTAAGAGTCGAAGACATTATTAAGTAACGTGCCCAAGATCAAACAGCTTGAAAGTGGCAGATCCATCAGGAGATCTGTCAGAGATCCATCAATAAGAACAACCATAAAGACATAAAATAGATATAGTTCGCATCAGGGTTTCTCACATGTGGATGCTGTGCACATTGTTTTAAAAAGATGATAATCTTGCAAAGATGGTAGTTAGAAAATTAATGCAGGTTTTTACCAGGAGCAAACCAAGAACTTAGAAATAAAATTGTGCTTTAGGAATTAAGCTAACAAATCAACACGGGGATATGAGCAAATACAAATAGGCATCTTGGATGTGGACCAGCTACCAGAGCCAGTAGGCCTTGACTGGATCCATGGGGAGGTACTAACTTATTGAATATATTTCAAGAACACGTACTTCAAGGAAAGTCATCAGTTCAAATGCTGTCTGTACCCACTGAAGCTTGAGAAGTTCAGTGAAGCTAAGCCCATAGACCACCTGCCAGACAGGTATCTATTATGAAGATGGACATGTGGATATTGAACTATCTGTGGCTAACAGGAGACACATTACATTCATATAATTTTCTCTTTTCTAAGAGAGCAGCTCGCTCCCACCTCCCAGAGCTTAACCACGGAGGAGAATATGGAACCAGGATAATGCCAATAACTGTTCCATTTGACAGTGGTCATCAAGTAAAAACCACTTTCATCTAGTAATTAAAGCCTTAAAATTTTTTAAATATAGTTTATGGATTTCAGAGAGGAAGGGAGAGGGAGACAGGGAGGGAAACATCAATGATGAGAGAGAATCATTAAACAGCTGCCTCCTGCATGGCCCCTACTGGGGATCGAACCTGCAACCTGGGCATGTGGCCTGACTGAGAATCGAACTGTGACCTCCTGGTTCATAGGTCAATGCTCAAACTCTTAGCCAAACCGGGCAGGCAATAATAAAAGCTTCATTGGCCAATGGCCGCTGACAAATTTCTGAAGCCACAAATCTTGGAATTCACCAAGGGGAACACTATTGAATGGGAGTCATCATAGGTAACAACATCCTTATCTTCTCTGAGTGACTAAAACAACTGGACACATTTGTGTGTGGATGTGTTTACCTTTTCACCATCTCTCCCTGGTTCTCCTTTGTAACCTGGTAGTCCTCGTACTCCCTAAATTAACCACAAAATAAAAGTCTGTCAGTTACAGTTTTATGGCTCACTAGAAATAGTATTTCTAAAATATGCATAAACAGGTCACATACTTGTATTCCTGGGGATCCTGGAACACCTGGTGATCCGGAGATTCCCTGATATCCCTAAAGAAAAGTGAAGAATAAATAATTAACATCCCAGCACATTCCCAAAGAGCAGCCCTCCGTTTCAGGATTCACGCCTGTCTCAAGTTTCTCACACCTAACACTTCACTTAGTTAAGAAATCAAAATAATAAAGTGTCAAATGCTTAATAAGGAATTCATATCCTTCAGCTTTTAGGAAAAAAAGGTCTTAAATATCTCAAGATTAAGAAAAATACTCAGAAATGCTTCAATTAAAAGGAAGACTTTGGGATCAGAATATAAAGCCAATGTTCACAGCCTCTAAAGAAATGTACTGCACGTTAGAAACATAGTCAACACATTCAGGAGAAAACACCTAAATTGGAGGATTAAACACATGTAATACATTTTTAAACTTCCTGGTTTAATGACCACCTGAGCTAATCCCTAGAATAAATTAAACCTTGGTGAATGTTATCCTTCAGAATAAGTCTATAACAGCCTTCGGAATGCTCATTTTAGAAAGCTGCTATGTTAACCTCAAGAATATGGCTGTCCCCCACCTCCCAAGGCTGAGCTGTCTGCAGGGGCCATGGTCCACTTTCATCTCCACTTCTTCTAACATATCCCTCCAGAAACTGGACCCTTGGTAAAACAGCGCATCTTTTTTAGACAGAGGGAACTCTCCATTCTTCACTTAGTACATGGGGATGAAACTCCCAAACAAACTTACAGGCCATGAACATTTATCTAGGTTCTCGGGGTCAATGTCAGGTTGACCTGGACCACCTGGCACCTGCAAACACATTTACCTCTTATTCAGATTCCAGGTTTCTCCCACACTCTATTCATATTCCATCTTTCTCAGATCTTACTTTTTGGACACAGCTTTCTTTTGTCAATAGTATTAACACAGATCTCATTCATGTTTCAATCACACTTTCATTCTTAAATCCAAAAGCTTTATTTTTATGTGGCTCCTCATAGATAGCTGCCTTGGTCTTCATAGTCACCCAATCACTTGTCAATACATTTTCAGCTGCAATTTTAGAGACATCATACCTATCTGCTTTTCCAGTCCCATTTCCAAATATTTCTTTTACTACTCTTTGCTAGCTCTAACAACAACAATAGTGGTTGTCTCCAAAAGATCAGTCATAGATTATAGTTTTTTCTCTTTTTATATACACTTGCATTTCTTATTTTGTAAAATGCTCTCAGTTACTCCGTGAATGATGATGACTACATCATTTCTATCACTAATGATCATCTTTCCTTCATACCCCATTCAGTTTTCACAGAGTATATCATTATGCTCTAATCAGGATTTCTCTCAACTCCCTTTGCCCGATCCTTAAACATTTTACTTCACCAGTGAATGAGATTCATAAGCAACCTTCCATGCTCCATACAAAACAACCAGTGATTCTCAAACCCGCCTCTGGGCGGGCACTGTCTCTATGTCCCCTTGAGAAGAGGAACTAGATCTAATTCATTTCTGTATTTCCAGCATGAAATAGAGCATTTGGCACATTTTCTTTCTCAAACATTGGAAGAAGTCACCTTCAAGTCATCCACACGGCACACAAGAGTGAAACATCTCTTCCCCCGAGGAAGCATGTTATGTTTGTGCTCTTTCCAGTAGCGAATTGAAACTTCAGTAATGCCATGTAGTGCATGTTCTCAGGATCAGTCAAAAGAAAGAAGAAAGTCAATCTACACAGAGTTTGCTCAGCTGTACATCTGTACCACTCTGGTTATCACTGAATCTCCTTCCCTCACCACTTTGGAATCAAAGAGGCCTGGAATTGAATTTCAATTCTATCACTGTTGGCACATGCCAAAACAGAACTAGGTTACTTATAAATGCCACCACCAAGGATATCCTTCAGGTTCTTCAGAATGCTTCATGCACTCTCTGGATAGTCTGACATAACTTGCCATAAGCTGTTGGAATTGGGAGAAATAATAATAGCAATGATTTATATACAACTTTCATGTTCCAAACTAATAAATTCACTTGATCTTCACAACCACCCTTTCATGTAGCCTTATCTCCATTTTAAAATGAGGACACCAAAGCATAGCAGGTTAAGTGAGTGCCCAGAGGAAAGACATATTCATAAAATTCTCTGAAAGAAAGTTACCATGGAGATTAGCTATTTATCAAAATGATTGGCCATCTGCAAAGTTCACATTTACCGAATTATTTTTTCTTTCGCATTTCTTCAAAAGTTAAGCCAAATGTCTTATCTGCTTTATTACTTTTTTCAGAAAGTTAATCTTTTGGAGAAGATCAAAAACTGCCATGCTATCTCTTCTCTTCGAAGAAGTTAATGCATTTTTATAGAGAGAACACATGACATTTCAGTGGATTAAAGTAACATGAAGATGCCCCAGAATGTGTTTCCAGCTCACCTCTGACTCATAATGTGACCTCAGGCAGAGAAATCAAATCCCCAGATCCAGAGACAACACAATGAAGTGGAAAGACAATGAATTTTGAAATTGGGAAAGACCTTGAGCTGAATGTTTGCTCCTCCCTTTCTATGGGATTTTGGCAAAGTCACTTTGCCCAGTTAAACCTCAGCTTTTTTACCATAAATCAAGATACTAATGCCCACTTTACTTTGGAAAAGAAACATAGTGTCATAGGTGAAAATGTCTGGCAGATGTTAGGATCTCAATAAATATTTCTTTCTTTTCTTAGAATCAATGACTATTGTATAATCCTATGAGACACCATGGAGAATGTTATCCTGTAGCTTTAATAGCCACTATTAATGCATGGGGAACGGCAGTCACATCCTGATTTAACCATTTTGCAACATTCGTACATATCTAATCTTGAACATGTGAACAAGGCCTCAGTGTATTTTACAATGGCTCTGTTGGTTTTGATTTTGGAAGAACTGCAATAAAGGAATAGTAACTGCTTCCCAAAATACGAGAACCAAGCTACTGTTGTTCATTTTTTCATAACTTACAATGAAACAAGGTCTTAAAAACTTAAATTGTATAAAGAAATTCAAAGATTATTTTAGAAGCTACGGGAAGCATGCTTGGTAATAAAATAAAAAACAAAACCACATCCAAGGTGGGGGAATCCCAGGGCAAAACACCAGAAAAAATTAGATTAAATTCAGAAAAAAAAAATTTGGACTAAAAACCAGGAAAATAAAGGTTAACAGGGAGGAATATCATAATAGAGAACAATTTCCAAGATGAGCAAGAAATAAAACGTTGAGTCATAGCAGGGCACACTAAAACAAACAAACAAAAAATGCCCTGAAACAGGAAAAATTATAAGCTTTTCATATAGTTTACTGAGTTTTTATTTTTCCAAATACACAAGTTTCTGTGTTGTACACTGCAACTTTCACATGATCTTTGACTGCTTAATACTTGTCAACATTAATTTTACCATTTTGCAATTATTAGTAGGTCCAAATATCCACACTACCCCATCTGCAAGATTTCTGACAGTATTTAAGTTTTTCCCATGTTCAGAAAAAGTTTCTTTGTAGATGAGTCATTTTATAGGAAAAAAATATTCTCACTGCCAAATTGTAGGGTTGAAGTATACAAAGTCAATTTACTTTTCTTCCATGATTCATAGTTGCCATGCTCCAGGAAAGATATATAGCTTTGAAATGGAAATTGGTAATAAAATCATCAAATGTGCTAGAGTCAAATGTCTAGTGAGCCCAATTCTAATCATACTACAAAATATTCTGCCAATATAAATATATAGTTTTTTAAGTAGTAAGAAGGTTTCCTTTAAATACTCTAAACTTAAAAATGAGAATAAAATCCAAAGAAATTATTTGGAATATCACTCTTATTTTTTTAAATGTATGAATGTAATTTAAAGTTTATTCTATTTCATAATTTTCCTCAAAGTTTTCCAAAATTCCAACATATATACCCTTAGGTACACAACCAGGGTAACTAGGTAACCAAAATCAAGTGTCTACTTTTAATGTCCACTGTGGAATCTTCTAATCATTGGTGGACTTTATAGCTCTATACAACTAAATTCAAAGAATATTCATGAATCTCTGTCTTTTCATATATATAAATTAGAGGCCCAGTGCACGAAATTTGTACACGGGGGTGGGGGGTCCCCTCAGCCCGAACTACACCCTCTCCAATTCGGGAGCCCTCAGGAGATGTGCTACTGACAGGTTGGGCCCACTCCCCATGTTTCTCTGCTCTCTGCAGGACCTGCCTGCTCCACACCACCAGGATGGGCAAGCAGGCCCTGCTGGGCGCTGCCTGTGGGCTCCGCTTTCCTGCTTGCAGGTCGCCATGGTGACCGCCCAGCAGGCCCTGCTGGGTGCTGCCTGAGGGCCCCCATTGCCTGCTCCCCAGTTCACAGCGACCGCCCAGCAGGCCCTGCTAGATGCTGCCTGCAGGCCCCAACTGCCTGCTCACAGTAGCCGCTGCCACTGCCCAGCAGGCCCTGCTGGGTGCTGCCTATGACCCCGCTTGCCTGCTGGGCTCACATTGCCGGGGTGATGCCACCAGCATCCTGCCCAGCCTCTATGGGCGCCACCATCTTTGTTGTGGAGTGATGGTTAATTTGCATATTACTCTTTTATTAGATAAGATACAGAAACTAGTTTGCCATCTAACCTAACTAATCATCAAATAGTTGAATTATTTAACTCTCATTACTTGACTAATAGGTCCCATGAATGTATATAAAATTACACCTGAGTTAAATTCTAAGAAAGAACTGTGATGCTATGGGAGATGAAGGGTAGACAGTTAAACCCTAGTCAGTTTGGCTCAGTGGACAGAGCATTCGCCCGCAGAATGAAGGGTCCTGGGCTGGATTCCGATCAAGGGCATGTACTGCAGTTGCAGACTAGATCCCTGCATGTGGGAGGCAACCAATTGATGTGTCTCTCTCACATCAATGTTTCTCTCTGTTTCTCCCCCTCCTTTCCATTGTCTCAGAGAATCAATGGAAAATATCCTTGGGTGAGGATTAACAACAACAACAACTGCAAAGTAGACAGTCAAGGGAAGCTT